TTTTTATATCTGTGATCTGTTTTATTGTTTTTAATTATTTTTGCTTTCTGTGAATCACTTTGTGATGTTTGTCTGTGAAAGGTGCTATAGAAATAAAGTTTACTTACTTACTTACTAGATGGATGAACTGAACATCAGATAAAATCCTGCAGAACTTTGATTCAGCAGATCTGTGAATCTCTCTGCACGACCACAGCATTTCTGAGTCCACTTCTAAAATATAAAAACTTTAGTTTAAGTAAAACAAAAGCACCACAGACACAAGAGTTCTGCCGGTTCTCCGTACCTGCTGAGATATTTATCTCCATCAGTTAAGAAACGAGAGGCGGGAGGAAGAAGCAGAACATCAAAAGATGCTCCTCTGCATCCTGTCTGTAAGTGGCTGCACCTGTGAAGGTGTGGATTTGAGTCACGCGGKAAAGATTTTCCTTTAGAATAAAAATAAACGCTGTTTCCTGAGTTAAAAAGTATTTTTATTCTTCATCCACTATAATCTGTTCTCCGTGTTGTTCTGAGTCTGCTTGGACCACTGCACCAGTAAACAGAAACTTCTACTGGTGTCACCTGTGATAACAGAAAAGTCTCCGAGTCCATTCAGGTTCTACAGAGTCAGCAGGCCGGTCCAGAACAAACGCAGTGTGATCAATCAAACATTCAGGAAATGATCTGTTTTTTTTTTTTTTTGTTTTGTTTTGTTTTGCACAAAGCTCATTCCATAATTTTTGTGCCGTTTCAACATTTCACAGATCAGAAGACTCAGCTCTTTAATGCCATGGATGCTATGTTTCAGCTGATACTTTTTCAACCATTTAGCTTTTTTAGTCACTTTTTTCTCACTGAAAATGAATGAACATGAATGATCTTGCCAATTTGGTGCCCTATGCGAGTTGAAGCCCCACCTTTTTGGAAAATATAAGTCTGATTTTAACTCATAAGGTCCTCGGCTGACAAACTCAGTCCTCACTGTGTCAGAATGGATGTCAGTAGGATTAGTAGTAGTAGTAGTACTTTATTTTTCCTGTAATACTTCATTGTAGTTTTTTTAAGACAAAGCTAAATGAAAGGGGCTCTGAGCAGAGTTACAACCAGGGATTACAAATATTTTTKTCTTCTGCAGTTCGGCGCCCCCTCCAGCAGCTGGCGCTCTAGGCGACCGCCTAGTTCGCCTATGCCAAGAGCCGGCTCTGTGAATGAAGCTGACCCCAGCATCATTAAAACCTTCATAGGTTTAAAATTTTTACACTTCTACCTTTGAAAATGCTTATTTGTGCTAATTCCGGCCTGCATCTGCTTCTTCTTTTGCTACTTTTAACTTTTTCCTGACATTTTTCTGCTGTTCTGCTAATTTCAACTTTTTGTGCTTCTTTTTTATTGCACAAAAACTTTTGTTTTTTATGGGATGAACAAAGTTTATAAATAAAATTAAAAAAATCTCTGCTTTTTATGCTAGTTTAAGTAATTTTTTGCCTTTTAAGCTACTTTTAGTCAATTTTGGATAAATTTGGCTTTTTTTCTAACGTCACATTTTTTGCAATAATTTCAGCTTAAGTGCGTAATTCAAATATACATGCTTCTTTGGGCTAATTTTAGCCTTTCAGCTACTTTTTAGCTGTTCGGCTGCTTTCAGCTATTTTATCACAACTTTGAATTTATTGTACTTTAACAGTCCTGTTGCCATCTGATTGCTAAATCCAACTTGTCATTTAAGCTGATTTTCTGCTCTGTTTAGCTTTTTTAAACTCGTTTTTTAAATTATTTGATTTTTCACCTTTGACTTTCAGTTTCAACACATTAAACTCACATTTACAGCTTTGATATCAAACCTTTTTAGCTTTTTCAGCATCTTTAAGCAAAAATATTCACTCTGCAWTTTCAAAGGAAATGTTAATTCTCTACTTATTTATTTATTTATTCATTTATTTSATTAGTGAACATGTAAAACATATTACTGTTGTGGTCCCTCTAATGGAACGAAGCGTAAGAAGATTTTAGTGGACAACAAACGTGTCTTTTTCCAAGGTGAGATGATGGCTGAAGCCTGTTGGCAGTGTGTGTCGACCTGAAGGCTGTTTCTTCTCCTGACTGCACGATTCCTTCRGTCTTACAGCAGAACTCAAGAGTCACTCAGTGGATTCAGGCATCAGACTGACTCACAGATTCAGTCACGACCAGCTGAACCAGCTCAGGGTTGAGAGGAAAGCTGAGTGATGGTGAGAAATAAAGAYGAATAAAGGCTTGTATTAAACCTAAACGTGCATTTTCTGCTTGATGTAAAACATACTGAAGAGCTGAACACTATTTTAATCTCAGCTTTAATATCTGCTCTGTGACACAAGACTGGTGAAAAATCAACACGTGCAACTTGTAACTGTTAMGATTTGTTCCCTGAGGATTAATAACTAATTAGTTAAAAGGAATGCATATCACCCATTGTCAATAGTTTTAATCATTTTATGCAATAAATAATGCAGTTATAGCTATTTATGCACAATCTCACACAATATTGAGATTTTAAGCTCAGAGAATGTTGGAAATAACTCTCAGCTACCACACCAGATTAAGTAAGTACAGCAGGTAAAATAAGTATTGAACACGTCAACATTTTTCTCAGTAAATATATTACTAGAGGCGCTAATGACATGAAATTTTCACCAGATGTTGGTAACAACCCAAGTGATCCATACATACAAAGAAATCAAACCATAAATG